CACCAGGGAGGAATGGCAGAGGAATGGCCTCAAGCACTCTTTTCCTCTCTCTTACATATGCAAACTATCCACCCCAGGGTGGGTGCAGCTCTTACACCCATAATTAAACTCTAATAGCCTGCCCCATGGCCACATGAGGCTTTGGAGGGACACACAGACATGAACCATAACAGAAGGGCCTTTTTCTTTATCCTTGCATCTTACCTTCAGTTCTCTAGACTTTATCACTTATTTGAAAATGAAGCAAACAAACACAAGCAGGAGAGAAGAAAGGCAAAACAAGGGTGCAGTAATGCCCACAAGTAAGTTCATTTAACCAGAGAATGAAACAGGGGCCCAAAGGGGAACAATCTGCTCCATCTAAAGATAAGTATAAAAGAACAGGCTTGCCCTTTGCACTGGAGCTTAGTAAATACCATGTTCTTGAATCTAACAGCCTGCGGAAGTGAAGAAGTAAGTCTTTAGCTATCCCTCAGGGATACAAAACCTGTGGCTCTATAGCTGACTATTTACCTATTAATATTCCTATCTGAATGTTTTCAATTATTGGAGGCCCATCAATCTTTCCATGTCAAAAGTGAACTCACTATCATGTCTTTCAAAAACTAACTTGCCCCTCTGACCCTCCCATTTCTGGTAAGCAGGTCAACTTATCCACCAAATACCTCCCAGTTGGAGCCTCAAGATCATTTCTGGATCTTTTCATTCTCCAGCCAACTCAAATATGCAGCTAATCTCCAATATCCAGTAATATGTTATGTGTTATCTTACCATGAAAAAGATCTAAATAGACAAAAGTGAACATAATATAAGAAACTGAACTCAGCTGTCACCCATACTATCCACTTTCTTTCTCTTCCCCAGACCATTAACTTTAGTATTTCTGAAACATAGCCTATTTCTTTCTTCTTGATGCTATGTTAGTTAATTCTCCAAGTCTTTTAGTGTTCCATCAGATCTATCTGGATCTTATCTAGTTTTACTTATATTTTAAAAATTATTTTGAAACTCAGATCCAATCATGTTTTTTTCATCAGTTAGAATCTGTTGATAGCCATCCTTAACCCCACTAACAGTATTTCCAGATTCTCACCATGCTTTCTCTCGTTTTAACAATACCTACCCACAGAGACTTTTGCCCTATGGCCTCTACCCTCATACCCAGTGTTCATAGTTTAATTTTCCTCTACATTATGCTCCTCCTTCACAACGTTAGGCATTAGAGTAAACTCTTTTCTTCACCTGAATATATTTTCAGGACTCCTTTTCTTCACCTAAATTCTTCCTTTTCCTGAAATGCCTGGGTCAACCATCACTTTCTTTTCAGATAATCTTCATTCTTTTATACTGAAAATGACCCCAGAAAGCCATTGCTTTCTCTGAGTTCCCTCTGCACTACTAAATACCTCTTTTATTTGATATATGCGCTACACAGAACTAATTTCAGTCCTCATATGCCTTTTCCAATTGCCATGGATCCCATTACGTTAGGGGCTGTGTATGTGCCTTTGTTGTTTTTGTACTCAGCATGCTGGAGGGGGCCCAGCAAGAAGTGTTGATGACAGAATGCCAAATATTTCTCCCTATTAACAATTTTCAATAACATTTTAAAACTAATCTCAATGTTCACTATATTATAATGTGTTTTCAAGCAATATCTTAATCTAAATCTATTTTTGATCATCCCACAGGAACTATTAAGTGTTGAGTTACACTGAGCAACTCCTTTGACTGGTCAATTCATTTTGAACATTAGCAAAAAGAGCACAAAGGAAGCAGATTTTTATTTTTTGAAATTATCTCTATCTAAAGGAATTTTCTTCTTGAAGATTGATTATTATGAAGCTGGACACTGCAAAGTTTAAGGCTATTTAAATAATTCATATTTATATATTACTTACTTCACAAAGATAATTTCTTGCCTGTCTCTCTACTGTCTGGAGGGAGGAAGGGAACTAACTTTCCAATAAGTGGTATGTTACTGAATAAGATTTATGTGTGACCATTAGGGAACGCTAGGACCATATTACATATCCAGCCCAGGAGATAGGAAGGTAAAGAATTTATTTTATTTCCAAATTCTTGGTAAGGAAGCTAAGAGGCCAGAGCCCAAAACTATACAGGAGGGAGACACACAAAATTCAATGTCAAAATTTTCCTGCCTTTTAATAGGTTACCCCAGACTAGTAAAATTATGTGGGAATTAAATAGCATATTGGTATGTTAATTTATTTTTAGAAACATGATCAGGTGGAACAAAATGTTTCATTTTCTTGGATTTTGACCAATACCTCAAACCTAGTGGGTCCTTTTACTCTGTGTCTTTGCATAGAATTTTTGCAGCTATATTCCACAAGGGATACAGCCCTCATCGTTTTCTGTGTTACCAATAACTGATCTGAGAGTATAATTTCTTTTAAAGTTTAATATAAACTTCTCCCAATATGCTGTGAAGGGAGTCAAATTCAGAGATATAAATGAAAACTTTTATTTTAATAAAAACTCAATTATATGCTTCTCCATTAACTTGCCTTTAGAATGTGAACTCTGACAGGAGGGCAGAGATCCTGACTTTCTGATTAATTTTTACTTACTTCCCAGTATAGACCTTCACATGTGGGAACTGAGAAACTCTATAAATATTTGAGGGACTAAATAACTGAATCAAATCCAATGTGGGTAAAATATTCTCCTTCAGACTTGAGTTTGGTGGCTTTTGTTCAACTTATGAGCTACTCAGTTAATTTTAATGAATGGTTTAATTTCTGCTGTGTGTATAGATATATATTTCCTTCCTTAATATATACATACACCTGTTATTAAAGTATTAGCCTTCAGTATTTTTTATAAAATAATTCATAGTTCATCTGCTCATCATATTTTCAGCAACACTTCTAAATTCCTCTAAACATGAAGAAAGAAAACTTCCTTACCAAATACTAAATCTGCACATTTTAAATATTTCATTATTTTTAATTTTTAAAAAATTAGATGCTTTAGATGAACTATTTCAAGTATCAACAATTTCTGGTGTCATAGCCGGCAGAGTCAAACTGCGAAGCTCCTGCCTGCCCTACATCATATCAGCTTTAGGGAGTTCAACTTATTTTTTAATATGTCTCAAATTTTTTGGCCTCTGGCGGAAGTTCAGTACTGTTCTCCTATCTATATACAAGGATGAAACGGCCACATCCTAGCAACTAGAATTTTCAAAGGAATTAGAGATTTCAGCTCAATATACCAGAATGGAAGCTATGGAAGCTAGAAAGAGGTTTCATGCCACAACATACAGACCCCCCCAAAAAACCATAAAATGTGTAGCTAGGCTAACTTTATTTTTCTCATCAGTTAGAAAAGATAGTATTTACCTATCAAGCTTAGGTAAGGTTTAAGTTATTTATGACAGATTTAGAAAAATATACAACTCATTCTTTCATATTGTCTATGTGTAATTGTACTAAATGCTATGCATTTCACCCTTTAAAAAACCTTGCTTAAGAAGAAGAATTTTATTCAATGTATTTTCCAAGCCTAACCTATTTTTACAGTGATTCCTCTACATTATCTCTTCATGTGCCCCAGTTAAGCTTCCTGTACACTGGGAAAAGCCGCAATCATCCTCAGGACTGTCCTTTTACCCAACAGTTTTTGCCTTTACTTTCCTTCTTTCTCACCTTCTTTCTAGTAACTTTTAGGTCTATCATATTATTTTAAGTCCTAGGGCTGGCAAAGCAACTTACTACTACTTGATGGTTTAAAACAGTAGTCCTTTAATCTCTCACAGCTGTGGAAGCCAGAAGTCCAGAACAGAAGGGCTGATGGGGCCATGTTCCCTCCAGAGGATCTAAGGAAGGAACCTTCCTTGCCTTTTCCTAGCTTTGTGGTGACAACGGGTTTTTCTTCACATTCCTCAGCTTGTAGCCACATCCTTTCAGTCTCTGCCTCTTCCTTCATATAGCCTTGACCTTTGTCTGGATATCCAAATTTTATGGGAACTCCAGCCCACTGGATTAGGACCCACCCTAATTTGGCATGACCCCATTTTAATTTGATCCTACCTGCAAAGTTCCTATTTCCAAACAAGGTCAATATGGAAAACTCTAATGGAATAGGACTTGAACAGAGTTTTTTGAGGAACATGATTCAACCCTAGGAGGGTCTTATATTGACTCAAAAATATTCTTTCTCTCCAGTCCATTGTAAACACTTATGAGAATATAATTTCTAATTAATTATTTGATAAATAATATACATAAGCTTCCTGATTTTTAAAAAGAGTGTCTGAACCTATATCTTTTCTGGGATGCTATAAGACTATAAGGATAAGGATCATGATATCATTTATTTTGTGTGTCGGTGTGGGTTTGTGTGTATGTACATACACATAGGTACAGACAGAAAGTGAATAATGCAAATAGTATTGAATAGGTGCATTAAAGAATAAAGAAGGAGCTAGGGAGTTAGTTCAAAGGCACAGTGTCTGCCTGGCAAGTGCAAGGTTGTGAGTTCGATTCCCGGTACCAGAAAAAAACCAAAAACTAAATAAATAGAGTACACATCCAATAATGCAAAATTTTGCTAAGAAAAAAAAGATGACCATAAATAGAACATGATGACAGCATGCAAATTTATAATCTCTGACTTTTTCATCTTCACTTATTTTATGTTTTTGAATGTTTATAACATATTATAAATTCATAGTTCAGCATGTATTTATTGAAATTTTTGTAATTAAGTTACATAAAAAATTGAAAACTATTCTAGTAGATTTGATAGTTACATTTATTGCTGTGGAATTGAAAGATCTAATTTTCTTTGCAGTTATAAAAAAAGTCACATTATAAATGGTGAATGGAAGGTGAATTCTTCAGGATTTTCTTTGAAATAAACACTGCATTACCTTAAACTATTTAATAGTCAAAATTCTCAAATACTGAGAGAAAATACAAAAAAGGCATAATGATTGTATGAAATACTATTTTAAATTGATATGTTCACAGATGACAATGAGTGTGGAAATTTAACCCAATCCTGTGGTGAAAATGCAAACTGCACCAATACAGTGGGAAGTTATTTCTGTATGTGTGCTCCAGGGTTCAGATCCAGCAGTAACCAAGAAAAGTTTATCACTAACGATGGAACCTTCTGCATAGGTAAGTTCAATGATGTAACTTAAAATTTGTACCTGTGTCTCATTGTTCATTTTCTCTGCAGACTCAGTAATGTTTGAATCAATTTCTACCACACCCTGGTTGAGCCCTAGTTGCTAAATTCTTTCAGATACTTTGCTAATTCTTTAATCTTTATAATATTGTTGTGTCGATAACTATAAAACACTTATAAAGTATATTAGAAAAAGAAGTAAACTATTTCAAACCATATTCTAAAGAAATAAAGCTTTAAGAATAAATGATAAATCATCTTTATCTTATTTCTCAAAGTTCCTCAATTGACCAACAACTTCTGTAATTAATTATGACTAATAATGTAAAAACATAATGCATTAACAAAGCCCTGTGAATTTAAACACACAGCAAAAAATATAGTCAAGGATAATGCAATGGTTTTACCTTACATTGATAAAAGAGTGGTATTTAAGTTAATCTGCATCACACTGAAGACGTTGATGGCTTCTCTGGTGGAATTTTCTTTAGTAGGCTAAGGAGAAGTCTGATAATATTAAAACAGGATAAACAGGAGACAGTGTTCAAAGAGAATTTTATTGATGAAATATCTGTATCAAAGAAATCATAAACCTATGTTTCATACTTATTCTGCCATGCAAACAGGAATTTTACTCTCCTCATTTTATAGCCAAGTAAAGTACTTGAGGTTTACACATTTAAGATAAAAGACTAGACTCAGTCTTATATCTAGAAAGCCATTGTCACTTTCACAAGAAACTTTAATGGATAGACCATTTAAATTTCACACTGAATCACTCAACATAATAGATCAAGTTTACAAGGGTATACGTGATTTAAAATACAAGATAACAATGCTGTTATTATTCAACGCTAATTTTATCTTTATTGCTTGCAAAAATGTATTGGAATACAGAATTAGGATGCATTTAGGATCTAGGAATCTATGACATTCTGCCCAGAAAATTTATAATACCTGTCTATTTGTTGTTTTCAAATCTATGTTTTTTTGCTAATCTACTTAATGTGTCACATAATGTATTTGGCTTTAGTAAAGTTCTAATGTTCCCTGTTAGTGAAGAAGTCTAATTTGTAACATATTAATCACTGTAACTTAAGAAGACTTTGTGTCCTCCAATTCTGAATACCTCTTGTCCCCTGAAGAAATCTGTATTATCAGCTGACCCTGTGCACTCCCAATATTCCTGAATTCATAAAGGACTTTATTTCTCTCTTCATATTCCTTACAAGTAGAGACTGCTTGCTCTAGAAGAAACTGAATTACAAACACCAGGGAAAACCTACAAACTCAAAGATGACTGAACACCAGCATTCTAAGGGAGTGTAGTATATTTACAATTTCAGACTCCTTCCCTTACTCATTTTATTGAAATACCTTGGAATTGTCCCTAGTTTTTGTCAGTTCCCTTTTTAGCTACATTAATCAGTAAACACAATAACTAAATTAAAGCATAATGCCTAGGACTGAGTCCTTTTGTTTCTACCTGTTTTGTTTTTTTTTTTCATGGATTATTCAGTGAAAAACTCATTCTCCAGAAAAATGTTATTTCTCACCAATTTCTGCTGTCCTTAAGGATTTGGCTTTTTTGAGAGACTGTGCAGCTATTTCTTTTTTTTCTACCAGTCCTATAATAATTTTTATTGTGCACTATAATAATCCTCAGGGAATTTGAACAGAGAGCCATAAATGTATTCCCTTTTTCCATTAGTATATCACTATGTAGTATATTGCTTCTGATTTGAAATTTTAGTGGATCCTTAAATATGGCACGGCTGATCATTATAGTCATTATAACCTCAATAAATAGACAATGGAAAACTCTAATTAAGGACAACATATGGCCAAAGCAGAATGTTTTAACCTATAATTCATATTCAATTGCTGTTTTCCGCAAAGTTCACTTGTCACAGAGGTTTTGGGTGAAGTTGAGCATTGTGCTGTTTTGCTCCCCTCAGAATCACAGTAAAACAGAATGTCAGGTGATCAGCTCCCGGGGGTCCCTAGGTCCCAGCCAGAATTCCACAAATGTGAAAACTGAAGCATCCAATAGTGCTTCTCCCAGGGCAAAATGAGCAGAATGCAGGAATTTCTTTTTACTATGTGCTTCAGAGCAGTGTTAATCCACTTGAAATTTTTATGGTCTACTTACCTTGGTTATATAATCCTCGGCACCAATCTAAACATTTCCAAACACATTTTCTCTTTTCTTATTTCTCATACAATAGAACTCTTCTGAGTTAGCAATGTTAAAGGTATAACCCAAGGTCATGCAACTAATGAATGTGGGAGTGAGGATTTGAATAAATTTCTTCAGTCTAGCCAGACTAGTTTCACCTTATTAAGAAGTGGGATGCTTTTTCAATTTTGTATGGTTTTGTTCATTACTAGGTTAAAGAAAGAACATAGAGTATTGTGCTGAAATTGTGAAAGCTCTTTTATTCAGGTACACAACCGGGTTTGGTAGTTACCTCAACATTACTGGGTTAATTGTATAAACTTTTCTAGGGAGGCCTATGGTGACAGTATCCTACTCTGTAAACCTCACTTCCACATTTCAGTAAAGCATTATAGAAACAAAAGTATGAACAAAGTAGTAGTTGATGAGATAATTAATATTCTTTCATAAAATTTGGAGTCTATAATAATTCGCATGACTTTAATCTTGAAGGCTGGTATCCTGGGATATAATTGTTATTTTTACTTGGCAAATTTAAACACTGTAATACCATACATGATCCAAGCTTCTGGGATAGTAACAAGCTGAGCCATGGTGGGAGGACTTGAATTTAAAGCAGAAATCCCCAAAAAACCCCACAGGGTATGGAGAAAGTGTAGAGAAAAGCTGAAATGAGTTGAGTTAAGTGCACTAAAATTGTGTGTATTTTAACCCAAAGTGCAAAAGGATGGATGGAAATTGAGTTTGTGGGGCCAAGACTTTTATGTTGTTGTGATTGGATTTGGGATGAAGTTCCCAGTATTATCACACAATTAAATGGTTTTGAAATTGAGAGAAATCAACAACTCATTTCCAGGATCCATGGAATGCACCTAAAACCACAAAACATGCATATGCAAAAGATATATTGTCTTACCCATGAAATACGTTATGTTATTGTACTTCCTGGGTCTGTTCACAGTTTCTTTTGGGTATTTTTCCATTTGGGTTCAGCATGTGTTACTTCAACAGCTTACTCCAAAAAACACTCATCTTGGCTTTAGTCCCATAATTTTGTTTCACTTCATAAAAAATAATAACCCTCATCTGCACCAGCACCTGGATCCTTTTGGTCTTTAGCCCAGCCTACAGTGCTTTTCTTGACAATTCTCCATATCCCCATTGGTCTCCTACATTAATTTTTGTCCATTTGTTTTTGTGCAGTGGTGATTTCTGAGTATACAGAAATAACAGTGAGGGTGCATTATTTCTCTAGAAGCAGTGTACTTGGATTTCTGAGTAGTAATTATTACGAATACATAGACTTGTCAAAGTCTAACCATTTTTCATTTTAACCTTTTTTGGTTACTCCCTTCTTATAAAACACTACTATGTCATCATGTTATTTTTTAAAAAATAAAATTTACACTTAAAATTACAGATTCATTCATTAATCTAATAGAAAATATCTCTGAGATATCAGAGACAGATTAAAAACACAAAAAATGTTACATTCCAGGAAAGAATCTGGACTGTTTAGTTCTTTGAAGTTATCCCTTATTCTGGCAGAGAATTTATACTGTACTTATAACTTTCAGGCAAATTTCACTAAAATTCTAAATTAAGAATATAAATGATGTGAGTTTAAAACTTAGCATCTTCACTATGGCTTCAGTATATAACCACTGAAAATCTATGACAATTCTATATATTATTTTATCTATGATGATTGTGTATTAAGAATTATACTAAAATATAATCTTAACAAAAATGTTATAAATGTTAAGGAAGTTAATCACGTATTCTGTTACATATGAGTTCTTAGGTTATGTACATACAAAAATAAAGCTTTTAAATGGATGCGAGTCATCCTTTTATATTCCAAATTACTCTAAAATGAATTGCTATAATCAATTCATCTTAAGACCAAAGACAAATAATTTTTAGTATATTTTTCAAATTAGGTCCTTATTAAATTAGGACTGTTTCATCATAAATGATGAAAATTACTTTAATGACTTTGTTGATTAATTATCCTACTTAGAAAGCAATCTGAGAGTTTTGTGCATGAATAATATTTGGAAAATTCTGTCACATAGATTGGCCATCTTAGAGTTAAAAATGATGTGCACTTAAAAACTGTGTGCTCTGCCTTGTTCCCAAATAATATTTGTCCTTGCTTGCCTGTGCAGTTTGTTAAGAAATCACTAATTGTACATAATATGATTATCAACAAAGTAGCAACTTGCATGAACCACATTTCATAACTTAAATTTTCCACAACTGTTTCCAGATATAGATGAATGCAGTGACCCATTTGTCTGTGGTGATCATGCAGTATGTGAGAATGTGGACGGGGGCTATCACTGCTCATGCAAACTGGGTTATCAGACATCCACAGGAAAGCCACGGTTCACACCAAATGATGGTTCTTATTGTCAAGGTAATTTATATAATTAAATTTAATGTACTGTCAAAGACCTATAAAGGGCTGGGATGTGGCTCAGTGTTAGAACTCTTACTTTGCATGCACAAGGCCCCGGATTTGATCCCAGCACAAGAAGAAAAAAAAAAACCTACATAAAATTTACTGTAGACTTTAAAGTAACAAAGATCTACAGTTTTGAAAAATGTACCAGCTTGTATTTATGGCTTATGAGAAATTCAGAAGAGGGTATTTTTTTTATGTTAATGGAGCATGAAGACAGCATGTTTATACAGTTAATATTCATTCTCCAATCCTTAAAATTACCATGGTCTGTCTTCCATTGTCTAAAATATTACATAGTCTGAAACAGAATCAGAAACTCAGGTGTTAAACATGAATGGGCTTTCATGTTTAAAAGAGTGAAGAAAGCCATTGGGATCAATGTGATCACCTTGGGAAAAATGTTTTTTCTAACACTTACTATGTTATCTATGTCTTTTTCTACAGAAAATGCAAACACAAACTGCTATTTAGATAATGCCTGTATTGCTACAAATGTTAATAAAATGTTGGAAAAAGTAAGTAAACACATTGAGTTAAATTTATCTTATTTTGCCATTTGGGGCTTGGTTAAAATGCTTCTAGTGTCATATTCCAAAAGGTCCAGCAGCGTCTAAACATCTTGTACAGCTGAAATTATTTCCATATAGAGATCTACATATTGTGCTTGCTTCAGAAATAGAATTAATTTGAAACTCTCCAAAGTATTGAAGAAGACTTTTATACATGTACTTGATGTTACTTTTACATTATTCAGTATACTGGATATTTAAGCTCAACATACAAAAAAGTTACTGAATTAAATAGTAAAAATGTACTTGGACTCCAAACCCATTCCCCCTTTCTAAGAAGACATAGTGGAGTGCAACTAGATTTTGTTCTTCAAAATGAGTACTTCAAAGAACCAATAAAGTAAGACATTCATACAGTTATTGTCATGTGATTGAGCGTGCGATTCTCAACATGAGCAATCAACTGTCGGCTAAAGCAAATTTCCATTCTACCACATAGTAAAGAATTTTTTTTGGTTGATTAAAATATAATTCAAGTTATTAGGTTATAATTTCTTAGAACATCAATATTTATAAGTACTAAGGGGTTTAAATATGAAGGTATAATTCTATACAGGAGAATAGGCAGTTATTTTTAAACCTGTTCTTTTTATGAAAATCATCCACTCAAATATGATCTATGCCTTTGCTGAAGTAACATCTGTACTTCCTAAGTTATTTCCCAATCTTTGAAATAAATTCACCTTTCAGTGTTGTATGTTATGGTTGTAGTCACCAACCTCATAATAAATTTAACATATAAGCTTTATTCTTGCAAAGTTAGAGCAGAACTCTGAATTACTTCCATTTTCTGTCCTTCTTTTTGCTCAGATTGGACCCATACAGGAACCTCTGACTTTGCTGCAGGAAATCTATAGGAACTCTGTGACAGATATTTCACTGATGGATATAATCACATATGTAGAAATACTAGCTAAATCATCCCCGTTACTAGGTTATATGAATAACACTGTCTCAGAAAAGGACACCCTCTCTAATACAACTCTTACTGTGAGTATGTTTAACTTTTTAAATATATTGATCTTTACACCTTTCCTGTATTCATGTTTAGTATAAGATTCCAGTATTTTTAACTGTAATACTTTTTAAAAATAGGAATTTGTGAAAACCGTGAATAATTTTATTCAAAAGGATACATTTAAAATTTGGAACAAATTGTCTTCGAGTCACAGGAAAACTCATCTGACGAAACTGTTGCATACTGCCGAGCAAGCTACCTTAAGGATTTCTCAGAACTTCCAAAAGACCACTCAGTTTGATACAAATTCATCTGACATAGGTAAGACCAAAGGTCAATTTCAAAGCAAGTGTTTTCCAAACAAGCTGTTTTCAAGAAATATTGAGGTGGGTTTTCAATAGAGGTTTGAGGAAATCAGTAGTACTTTTGCCAGTGTAGAAATGAATGATCACTTGTATTATAAAAGCACTATTAGTGAAGTGTGCTATATTAATAAAAAGGATGACTATAGGGCTATTATATCCTTCCTATCATATTTATCTTTGCTTATCCTTGATTAGCATTTAAATACATTTTATGACTTGCTAGGAACTACCTTGACCAATGACAGTTCCCTCAGATTTTCTGGACGAAGTATATTTAAATTTCTGTTTAGAAATCTTTTGCCTTTTGGCTTTTGAAAATATGAAGCAACAAACATAGTAAAGTAGAAAGTTTCCGGCTTCATGCAGTTTCGTAGTTAAAAATGCTCAGAACCTTGGATTAAACTGAAGATGATTATGAAGTTGTTCAGAGGAAGCAAGGTACACTTTCTGAAATAATCCCTGTATAGATCTTTATTACATTTTCTGGGTGATAGCCTGCTACCATGTAGTAGATTAACAAAAACGATTATCTCATCAAGATTCATCATTTGTCAGAATTAAGTCTGTAAGCATTGTGATTAATGTAAAATGTTTTATATTTCTATGATGTTGATGAATGAAAAGGTATAATGTATTAGTAAGGAAATTATCATTCAAAAATTTAATTTAATTGCTCTTTAGATAGTAATTTAAATTATAGGTAACATACTGGAAGACATTATAGTTGCATGGTTTGATTCAGTAATCATGTATACATACCCTTGAGTACATGCATATTTATCTTTTATTTGAGTCAATAAAGAATCAATCATGAGTGCTACAGAGAAATGCAAAAATGAAGACTTGTCAGATATTTGATATATAAATTATACTATGCAAACATGTTCAGAATATGTTCATTTTATGAGCTATCAATAAGAATTTAAAATACAAAAATTATGGATGAAATTGTACCTAAATGAATAAATATGGTGATTATATAGATGAGCTAGTTTCAGAGAACTGATGATTCTTATGGTTTTCTTCAGCTCTCCAAGTTTTCTTTTTTGATTCCTATCACATGAAATACACTCATCCCCACATGAATGTGGATGGAGATTATATAAAGGTGTTTCCAAAGAAAAAAGCTGCCTCCGATTCAGAAGGTAGGACGTTAACAGTCTTGCATACAATATATCAATGAATTTACAAGAAATACTTTTCATGTATTTGATCATATCATGTGTATGATTTCCTATAACATGTTTGATGTTTATAAACATAATATCCACATGTGTATTTGAGGTTTTCATTTTAATAAAAATACCTGACAAGAATTTTAGCTGACATTCAATATCTGGCTCATTGTTCATCATGGACTTAAATTTATGATTTTGTGAAAAAGAAAAATACAAAGAATCTTTTATAGATAATAAAACTAAGATGAAAAGCTAATAGATTTATCTCCATACTTGTAGTTAACTAGTAGGATACAAAATAGTAGAAGAGAAAGTTGACAAAGAGATCAACCAGGCAAGCTTTCCCTGTCACTTAACTAAAGTCAAGCAAGAAGCTATTATTTTAATTTAATCACTTATCTGTTCTCTTATGCACTTAGAAAAATCTCTGGTGATAACAGAATTGTTGTTGTAGTATTCTCATATAGGCAAATATTTATTACCTAGGGAAACATGATTTAGAATATTTTATTAAAGAATATGTGGATGAACATAAATACAAATGAAAAAATATACAGCACACACATATGGTCTCATGTACAGACTATTTCATTAAAAGATGAATTTACTTTATCATTAAAAAATGCTGTGCCTTCTCAGAAGCATGTCATTTTGTTTTGTTTCACTGTGCTGTGTTTATATTGCACTGATGTGGAATTTTTTTTTCTCATCCATCAATATTATCTTCTCCATTCTTTCCTGTCATTTTTACATAAACTAAGAAACATATGATTATAAAACAAAGGAAAAATAACAGCCACACTACCATGGAATTTCTTGTTGCTACCTTTATATCATATTCTAATTCACCAAATGTACATATATTTAGAAACAAAGCTAAAGAGAACAATGTATTGTTGAAATTTCAACTACAAATTAAGTAGTGGTTAGGAGTTAGGAAAAAGATGTTGAAAATACCTATTCTAGTGACAGATGATGAAAGTGTTGTGGAATTAATATCTCAAAGAGATGCTGTCTGATTGCATGGTAGCTTTGTTATATTTAATGATAACACATACGAGCTGACATAGGAAAGAGACAGTAATATCAGCTCTCCATGAAGCAGAATAAGAAAATGTGTTTTCCTCAAGGTTGGATCTTGAAAAAAGTAAGGGCAAATCTAAAAAATTAATCATTTCTTCTCAACGATTTCAACATGTGATTTCATTTATTGACAATTCATTAATAAGACTCATGCATTATTAAAAACATGTATGAAACAGTACATTCATAGAAATATAGGAAAGTCCCTGGAGCACTAACTGGCAGATTATTAATTTTTTTATGTATACCGAATTCTAGAACAGGAGGGTGGCAATGTTGAGCATGAGCAGAACAAGATTCAATGTTTTAAACTATGGCTTTATAGTAAAAAGAGAGGTTCTACATCTTTGTTTCTAAGTTGCAAATGAAATTGAAATAATATTTAGTTGAAAAAAATGGAGCACCTTATAAAGCCCAATTGAGAGAAAAACTAAAAATAGAAATTATGTTTGACTAGCTATACTCCTGGGCATGTTCTTAAAGGTTGTTACAGTGATGCATACCTCCTGTGTTTATAGCTGCACAGCTCGTCATAGGTTATCTTTGAAATGTTTCATATGCCCATCAATAAATGAATTATTAAGGAAAATGTGGTATATACACACAATATTCAGTCCTAAGGAGGGATTAGAGTCACTTCTAGGAAAATGGATTCACCTTGGGGCCATAACACTAAGTAATGTAAATCAGACACATGAAGTTAAATATCGCATGGTTTCTCTTATATGAGAAACCCAAGATATAAATAATTCAAAGAGCAAAAAAAGCAATAGTTGGAAACAGGAAAGTAGCTGCTGTGGGGATAGAAAGGGGATCTGGAGACTGGGGAATATGGAAAGGTAAAGAAGAAAAGGAGGTAAAACTGGTTAAAATGCAATATGTATATGTTTCAATTCCTTCCCGTTAATATAATGATTATGTAATGCAAACAAATAAAATAAAGAAAACAGAATTTTTTTTAGGTTTTTTTTTTTTTCAAAAGAAGTAGCAATAAAGCAGTTCAGGAGCAATGATTCTCTAAGGAGTTTATTGTTTAGCCCACGTTGAGACAATCAATCTTGGGATTTGACATGAGGAATATCTCAATTTCTGCCACCCTCGTAGTTTTCCAGTAGTCCAGAGTGCAACTCATGAGTGCACTGTACTATGAAAGTATTAATATCATTCACATAAAACAAACTAGATAAATCCAAGGATAAATAGTGAATGGGAACCCTTTAACAAATATATGTAGGTATTAATTTTGAAATAATGTTTACAAGACTTTAACACAATTGTTTACACCAAACAAATACTCAGATGTAAGCTCTAGCCATTGAATTGAAAGATAAAACTTATTCTTAGGCTAAAATACAATCAGTTATCAGATTCAAAACACCATGGGGAAAATAAACTAACATAAATGTTGGACAGAGAAAAGGAAGGATGAGTGGTGATTTAGTAGGGCACATTACCCATTCTTTTCATATAATTCCGGTCATGGGACATGGAAGAGACTCAAAATGTTCAGAATGAAGAAATACAGAAATAGCATTCATAAAGATTATCAAAAGGGACTTAGAGCATTGTTTGTGGAGCCCCTTGTACCCCCCAAGAAATTAAGGTTAAATAAATATTTCTCTTTAGATAAGATAATAATTAGTAGAGATGTAAAATCCAACATTTTTGTGACCCTTCATTTGATTTTGGACAGTCTTTTCCTGGGACCTCTGAAAACTCACTATCATTACCAGCATTAACCAAATCAGTTTTCAGATCCTACTTGAGGTCTTTCTTGGTCCATCCATAGTGAAGCCTGTGACAAAATTACCATCTTTTGGAGTCATAATTTTACTAACCCAACCCATGTTCAATTAATTTGCATATCTTTGGTGTGTTTCCTAAGCTAGTATGTCAGGCAAAATATTTTATGTAATGTGTGTAGGCTAGACAAGGCTGTTAACATCTTCTATGGTGTCTTATATACTTAACATGAATAGTGATATAGTTGGGAGTTTCTATCACACAAAATTATATCCAAGGAATACTGTTAGAGTGGTTTGCAAGTTTATAGTTTTAATAGTCATCCTTTGTCTTCTGGTGATATTATCAGTACATGTACTTATGACACTACAATATTGGCTTATGTGCTGATACACTGCATTTGAGGACCGTCAGAGGACCAGATATATGGCTGCCTCAGAAGGCACTACATTTCCTCCTTTGACACCACATAACTATATGTAATCAATATTAAGGAAAAGCCACTGCAGTGAGTATAAGGCTGAACTCATCAGCATGTCACAATTCATTCAGTTCTAAACTTTCTTAATGCCATAAGCTTGCAATAATTCTCTCCCGGTACCTCGCCAACTCATGTGCTTACACGTGGAATTAATAACTCTACGTTCTATCCTCCAAATGAATATACTTAACACTCTGAATCATTGTCAAGATTTGGATGTAAATTTATCTGAGACACAGGACATCTAGGATATAAGGGATTGGCTACAGTTCATGACCATTTTAGATTCCTAGTCAGACTGTTTAAGTCTCAATATGGTTTGACAATGTACACACGGATTATCGTAACCCACACTTCAATATCTAGGTATGCACATGAGTTCTTTAAATTTTTGTCTGTTCAAATTTTATGCTTATTTCAAGATCTTAAACATATTTTTGTTGTATGAGAATTTCACGATGCATACTTATTTGTTAGGTCATGTTGCAGTTGCATTTTTATATTACAAGAATATCGGCTCCTTGCTCTCATCATCTGATAACTTCCTATTGGATCCTCAAACTTCTGACAATTCTGAAGACCGAGAAAGAGTTATCTCTTCAGTGGTTTCTGTCTCAATTAACTCAGACCCACCCACACTGTATGAACTCGAGAAAATAACATTTACATTAAGTCACATGAAGGTAAGTTGTGCTTGCAGTGTTTTGGATTAAGGTTGTGAGACATTCAGAGAAGTGGACTTTTTTACTGTCGTATATTAATGATATGCGAGTTTTAGAATTTAGAAGCACAGATATAAAATTGAAGGAGTAAGTGGTTTTGATAAATGTCTCTACAAAATATTTGTATTGCAGTGCTTTTTAAAATTTCTAACTGATATCAAAGAATTTATATATTTGATTCTCTGGAATTAGGCTATATTCTAGTTTTATTTTTAAGTATACCACTATTTTTGAAGTTTCCATACCTTCTAAGAATAAGTTATTTTAAAAAAAATGTATCCCAGCAAAAGAGATAAATGGGAGTTGTGTAATAGAGGAAGTCTTGAGTTAATATTTTTCACTTTAAATCACATTTGCAGGAAGTTGGATATTGATTAAAATAAAATCATAGAGAATTTTACAGTATTTAGTGAAGACAATTTGCTCTTATCTTTATTCTAAACTGTTTTCCAAATTTAAGTTAACAAAGCCTGGCATAGTGGCCCATGCCTGTAATCCCAGCACTTGGGAGGCTGAGGCAGGAGGATCACTGTGAGTTCAAGGCCAGCTTGGACTACAAAGTGAGTTCAAATCCAGCTTGCACTACATAGTTAAACGTATCTCAAGAAGACAAAAGAAATTTAGTATCACTAAGCTTATAATAAAAACTATAGTTAGAACTAACCAAATATTTAGTCATTTTGTCAAAAACAAGTGGAGAAAGACAAAATTATTATTTGTCATTATTTTTAGTTAATGATTTCTTGGGCTTTTGGCAATATTTAAGTTACAGTGCATGATCAGAGTACCTCAGAAGCTCCAGGGGAGAAAGCTGGAGCTGGTCAGTTGTATATATTCATACATTTACCATGATAGGGAGGGACTTTCTAAGTAAGAGCAACATCTAAGTCAACACCAAATACCAATGTATCAGTGTTAAATGAAGACATGTAAAGGAGAAATGTATAAAATCTGATAAGCACTGTGTGGAGAGAGTAAGTATAAAATGTTTTGAAGAATAGAAAGTAAACTTAGATTGGATTATGAGGCTGAATCATTTCCCCATAAATTTATCTATTTTAGTTTGTATAGATTTCTGTGTATCCGGTCATAATTATCTCTGCATTTTTTGACAGTACAAGTCTCTCCAAACATTAAAATACGTATGATTGTCTATCAGCTGACCTGTTGTCTCAGAGCTGTCCTTGCAAAGCCTCTGATACCCCATCCTGGCCGGTTCACTCTGGCCTGTCACACAGTTACCATGCTTGGTATGACCCAACTCTCTCCTGCGTCAGATGCCACATTTCCTCCATCCAGTTGTTTTCTCCTTCTCGGTTTATTTACATAGCTTGGTAGCATGGTCTCTAACAGCTGTTTGAGCACATAGGTACCTTTGTATAGAGTGACACATTATAATTTTTCTGTCTCACAGGTTTTCTAGACCTTCTAACTTCTAAGGTTAAACTCAAAACATCAAATGCAATTAATATTTTAATTAAAATTTACAGTATCTTGCATATTCCCTTTCTCTCTCTCATACTTTTGATTCTAAAATTATTCTTAGGATCCCAAAAGCTTTGGGATGGACTTTGATGTGGCTCTTTCTTCATTAATTATAGTAGCTCTTTTGTGTCTGTATGGTCTGAAAATGCATAGGTGTCAGCTCTGAGGAATTTTCTAGCATTGTTTCTTTGGTAATTTCTCCTTACATAGTATCTCTGCTCTCTTTTCTATTTTTCCTGTCATTTACTGGCCCTTCTAGTCAAGCCACAAATTTATAAAATGTTTATTCCCACTTGTTATTTCTTTTCTTTTTTCTGTTTATTTTTCCCTTGTACACAATTTTCACTGGCACCCTTTTATTTTTAGTGGACATGCTATTGCATCTCTCTGAAATACTATTTGTGTTTATTTTAAATTCTCTTTCCTACTTGCTGTATGGTGGTGTCCGTGCTTTCCTTTTCCTGGTGTGCCCTGGTTGCCTGTCTTTCTTTCCTCTGACAGCATCCTCTCGTGTGTATGTTGGCTCATGACCAATGACTCATGTTTGACGAGACCCGGGGTGTTCAGGTAGGTGTGGCAATGTGACGCTTCACTAGGGACTGCTCATCAGGCTGGATCCTGACTATGGTACTGACATAACCATAAGGCCAGCCACTAAAGCTGTTTCTTTTGAGCCAACCAATGTTCCTTTCATAATTAAAGGTGGTAGCCTGGCTGCAAGAGTTAAGAGAACTAGGAAAATGTAGTGGTAGAAGGTGGTGGAGGTTCAGTGTATGAAGACTTTCACTTAACAACTTGTTTTCTGAGCGATCTCACACTTCAGTGGTCTGTCGTTCCCAGGTCTAGACTCCTTCTGGCTCTTCTGGGACTGGAATTTTCCAATCTCCTTTGGGAGCAATTTGATAAAGTATTTCAATTTTGTCCATATAGTCCAACCTCGCTGAAATGCTTCCAGCCTTTTCTCCAATTGTAACTCAATCACTGTCTTCTCAGACTCACTCCAGTCAGACTCAGATCATCACCGGCAGTGTTCTCACTGTTGATACACAAGCGCATATCATGTTGAAGTGTATTGAGCATGTACCCCATTAGAGTAATTATCATGAGTTTCTATTATCTTTCAAGTGCAAATGCATTGTCTTTCTGAGAATCTTCGCTCTTTGCATAGTGCCTATCACATTTAACACTTAAGACATGTTTTCATTAATAAATAGTTTTCTGAAGGCTCAAGTTTGACTTTGTGTTGCTCCCCTTATTGATGGAGAGTCTTAAATATATCTTCTTCATATTTCTTGGCCTCTTAGCACAACATCTACCTCGCAGGGTTGTGTTGAGCGTTAAACTAAATAAAATAAATGAGAAAGCACCCAGTTAAGTAGGAACTGTTACATAATTGTGAATAGCATTTATTTTGGCCGGCTCAAAACCTATTAAAACTGCTTTGGGTACAGTGTCATGATTTCTTAATATAAAAATATGGTAAAGGGAACTCTACTGAACTATACTATACTGCTTATTGAGCAACCATCCCCCTGTTTATGTGAGCTACCCTTGTCTGTCTCTGAACTTGTCTTCCACATACTTCAGCTTACTCAAGTGCTCCATCTTAACTGGCTTCTGGATGCTTCTAGAAGATGCTTGTTGAGTTTCACTGCAGAGCTTTCTATATGCTGTTTCAGCTGTCTGGAACTGTCTCTGCCCAAGTCAGCAAGGCTCACCCTCATGGGACCGAAGTATCTGTTCAGACATTTTCTCTGAGGAAAAGCCTTCTCAGACCATATTCCATCCCACTGCCCTCTTTACCTGTGTATATTTTCTTCTTTAATTATTTTTTATCTCTTACTAGGATGTAAGGTCCACAGGGCAAGTGCCTTTTTCTATTTGGTTCAATGTTGTGTTTTTACACCATGGAATAATGGCAAATATTCTGTCAATAACGCATACTTATTGCATAAAGATATACATGATTATGTCATATTCTGTGCCAAATGACATATTTACATGGTCTCATTAATAATAAAAGTTCTCAGTACCCTGTGACACAGGCTGGAAAACAATGTAGTATTGTTACAATACAAATTTCAATTTTACCACATAGCAACAGCCTTCATTTGTTATAATTTGTTTTAATTTTTAAGTGCTGTTTTAATCACGTGTGTGGTATTTTAAATATGACAAAAACAATGCAGTGCTGGATTTGTAACTTTTTCTCTTTTTCTCCATCAGTAAAATGTTTCTTTTTCAGATGACAGATAAGGCTAATATTCAATGTGCATTTTGGAACTACTCGTCTGATACCATGAATGGTACCTGGTCTCCAGAGGGTTGTGAGATGACAAGCTCAAATGAGACCCACACTTCATGCCGTTGTGATCACCTGACACATTTTGCAATTTTGATGTCTTCTGGCTCTTCAATTGTAAGGCAGTTTTCCATTCCATGCACATAAATCAACCTATCTCTGTTTTTTCTATTTTTCCTATGTTATTCAACAGAATAATGAATTTTCATATTTCTCTTGGGTGTGAATAGTATTTAATATAAGCATAATTTCAGTCTTATATTTCTTTACTCTTTTGTCCCTGGCTTTTAGGACACATGTAGTATGGATTTTAGGTTATGCCTAATTTCTGATTTATCTAGTCAGTAATATCTAGTAAACTACATGTTAAGTGAAATCTTTATTCATCGACTCATTTTTTATGCTGCTTTTAATAACCATTTACAAATTTTATTGTAAGCACTGTTACCTTTTTCATTGAAAATTCATTTTACCAGTGACAAAGTGCCCCAAACTATGTGATATCTGGTCAATAAATGCTAGCACATTTATAATCAGTATATTTTTTGACAACATAGACTCCCACAAAATTTTCAAAAGTGGAATATCTCTCTAAGCTGCATAACTTCATAATTTGTATTTACTTTAATACCTTATTTATATTATATAATTGTATAATCTCTTATATCTCTGTCATGCTGCGCTTCAGATTCCAAGTTTACTTCCATGCACACTTAGAATCCATTATTAAGTTTATAAAATGTCCCAGTACATCTGCATGAAACAAAGATGATTTTTTTCAGAATAGAGCCAAATAGCCTCTATTCTACATATAAAAATAAATAGTCTTCTAGTTAGAAAAAAAAATATTTCCCATTTCAAAGTCTGTGGAAATATACCATTTTAGTGTTCTATGTATTCAACTTTTCTCATATCTTTGTTTAATATATTTTAGATGAATCACCACATAGAAATAAGACTTGGACATACCATTGATAAATCTGTTTTAATTAAGGATTTTCCCATTACAATAATGAATTGCCTTTCGAATATCATGAAGCTAATGGTGATAACATTGTTAAACCATATACTAATAAATGCAATGCTGAGGGGAAAAAAATCCCTAATTACAGTACTGTTAAAGTGCTGCATGATTTATATTAGAATTTTTGGATGTTGAGGATTTTCAAAATTAGAAAAAATTTTCTCATCTAAGTGCACATTTGTATTTTTACATTTTATGAACATTTGATTAATGCCTCACTGGAAAAAGAAGTTCATTACACATTGTAGTTCATTTGACAAGTGACTGAGTTATTCTCTTAACAGCTTTATTATTATTTTCCCTCAGGGTGTTAAAGATTATAATATTCTTACAAGGATCACACAACTAGGAATAATTATTTCACTGATTTGTCTTGCCATATGTATTTTTACCTTCTGGTTCTTCAGTGAAATTCAAAGCACCAGGACAACAATTCACAAAAATCTCTGCTGTAGCCTGTTCCTTGCAGAGCTTGTTTTTCTTGTTGGGATTAATATAAATACTAATAAGGTATGTAGATGCTCCTAGTCTCTATTTTTATCTTCTATTTTGCATTTTCCTAAATATATGTCTTAGAAATATGAGTTATAATTAAAGGTTTATAGGGCCAACATACAATGTATTTTTCTTGAACTATCTTTTCAAAGTTTGATAACACTAACAAATGTAGTCAGCCAGCTTACGTGTCTATGAACCCAAAATGTTCCTCTTTATGATGAATTGTTGAAATAGATTAAAACTTTGGAAACCCCAAAGAAGTGCTTATTTCATTTTTAGATAGGCATTAAATAAAAATCGCAGAGAGAGGCCTGGAAATAAAGTTTACCTTATGATACCAATTGAACACAAAAGCTGCTAGGATTTATAGGATGAAATATGATACATCATCTCTACCTGTTTTTTCCACTTTCCTAAACACTCTATTTCCCATGATTTTTGATCTTGGGCCTTATCACCTAATGTCATATTGTAGTAATCTGTGTCCTCCTGGAAACAGACACTAAGATCAGATTAAGCTTGGAATAAGTCTATTAGAGGTACCTGTAAGATGAAAGGAAAAAGCAGGCTAGGAAAGCCAGCAAACCATGATGCAAGTCTAAATTCAAGGGAGAGACAGAGAGAGGAAAAGAGTGGGCGGAGGGTTTTACATCCCACTGCAGCTCTAAGACAGGTTCAGCATAGTTGTCAAGGAGTCCTCTGGCAAGTCCTTGAGCTAAAGTCACCTGGCAGATGAATCCTCTGTCTCTCAGGAGCAGGAATTTCTTAGTAAGTCTGCTGTGCTCAGTGGCTGGGTGGCAGCAGCCTGTGAAACACGTGAACTGCTGCGGATGTCACACAGCAGCAGCCCCTGCAGGCTGTCCAGGGCTCTCCTCAGACCCGCAGATGACAGCAGTGTCCTCTCTCACCCATTGAGCCTGAAAGTGCCTTCGTATTTCCATTCTTCTTAGAAACCCTTAAAGACTGAAAGTAACAGATAGTCAAGTTTTCCTCTGAAATACACAACACAAAGCATCATTCTAAAGATGTAGCATACACACAACTATAAACTCTAAGTCTGTCTTTGTGTTTTGCAGTAAGATTCATAATTCCTCTCAATTTTACCTCGCAAAGTCTTCCAGGACTTATTTTCTCTTTCAGTTACTTCCATCATCTTCGCTTCAAAGCTGTTCCTTGTAGTGTTTGTTCATTTTCACTCCTCACTTATTAAACCATTCCCATTTTCAAGCCATCCTTCAAATCTTACTTGAGCTACTCAAGGTGGTTACACAATTTTAACCACCAGTGACCTTTCTGCTCCTCAGTCAAAGTACTTTCCACTACATTTCAATGTGTAATCTCATTCTTGAATTATATAGTTTTAATAAGTGGATGGGTATGAGTGCCTTATACTTTCTCTCTCATGAGAGTTATTATTTGTCCTGGAAGTAAAGGAATATATAACTATTACTCTTTCTGTTATTTCTTATAAGCCTAACTCTAGTTTTACTGTGAAGTAATGTGAATAATGTTTAACTATCTCCAATTTATTTAATAATCTTACAACCTAAAACAGTTCCATAATGGATATCTTGATAAACCATATCTCTTAGCTGTTCCACAAATTTTGTCTCTTAATCAAGATATTCATATTCTTTTGCTTACCATCATTTTAGCATTCATTTTCCTTCTTTAGTGTGAATAGAGGAGAAGAGAAATAGCACCACAATGGAATAAACTGAAATCTAAACACATGCACAAGATGCTGTAATTGATAGGTGAATAATCTTGTTTATCTAATCATGACAAATCTCTGGACGAGGGCAGGAACACGGCTCTAGCACAGGATTGGATAATGCTTAGCATTGAAGAACCACAGATTTTAAAACCAGTTAGAAGTAGTAGTACATCTTAAAAAACTGACATGACACAGATATTTTAATGTGATCAGTCATACATCAGGTGACATAATTCATGGGAAAAAATTGAGATTTTTGTTATGGACAATTTTAAAACAAACATCACTTATGGTTTCTTTCTTCGATTTCTAGCTCTTCTGTTCAATTATTGCTGGGCTACTACATTATTTCTTTTTAGCTGCCTTTGCTTGGATGTGCATTGAAGGGATACACCTCTATCTTATTGTTGTTGGAGTCATCTACAACAAGGGATTTTTGCACAAGAATTTTTATGTCTTTGGCTATCTCAGCCCAGCTGTGGTAGTTGGATTCTCAGCATCGTTAGGATACAGATATTATGGCACCACTAAAGTGTAAGTTAAGATGATTTCTTGAGCAATAACACACAATCCAGTATATATTTTGCATATCCTTGAGAGTATTATTGTGTTAAAGTAAATGCAAACATATTTATCAATTTTATCTCTTTTATTTACTTTTTAGATGTTGGCTTAGCACAGAAAACAACTTTATTTGGAGTTTTATAGGACCGGCATGTCTAATCATTCTTGTAAGTATATATTAAATTATTGTGAAAATCCAAAAGAGCTATGATGAAAAGGCGCTTAAAATTCCCAGTAGTCAGACATTATATTTTTTAAAAAAATTGGAACATTTTGCAATGTATCATGTATTAACATTTTATATATATTGTATTGTGATTGAGAAAGAACATATAGGTAGCTTGTTAACTCAATGCAATTTAATTCATTTGTCCCCTTTTAAAGACAGATAAATTAAAAAAAAAAAAAAAAGACAGATAAATTTTTGCCTAACATAAGAAAAAGCATTTCTCCCTCATCAGCAGTGTCTCAGCATACTTCAGTATTGAAAGTGTGCAGACCAGCTGATAATCTGGTATTTCAGATGTTTATGTTATTTAATCTTTTATCGATGATCAGTCATCTTTGAAGATTAGACTGTCATCTTTACAGTTTTATCATCTTTATGTACCCTGTCATCATAAGGTGATTTTAAACTAAATTGCAACGTCAGAGACAAGAACCCACTATTTCTTGTGGGCAGACAAGTCGTACGTATACTGATAGTCCTATTTCAGCAAGGAAGAGAGCCTTTTAATTCTTATTGAAAGTGGTTTCAAACCTACAAATTTGGCAGGTATTATATGTTCCATTCTAAATAAAGACATTTTTATATGTCTCAAGAGCATTTCTAAGTGCTGAAAGTTTTCAGCAGCCATTCTGAATATAATAGTCCACCAATGAATCCAGGAGATCTGACAAGACTCTAGAATGGAGTGCATTGCAAGTAGAGGAATTGTGACAATATTGTGGACAACTTTCTTCCTATATTTTGAACATAAACTAGCTGTCTTTTCTGAATTTGTCTGTTCTGTTTTACACTATTCTCTTGAGTATTTTGTGGTGGAGAGGAAACTGAGAAGTGGAGAAAGACTTGAAATGCAAAGCAGAGGATTTTCATCAGGCTTTATTTTTTAATAGTGTGGGTAAAATCAAGTACATTCAAAAATTATACTTCCTAATCATGGAAAATTGTTTCAAATTCTCATAATTAATCTAGCAACACTTTTTAAAGCCACTGGCTAGATTTCAGCTAAAACAATTTGAGCTCGTTTATTATAACTCCAGTATTTTCAATCTACATAAGAATACAGTGAATGATGTCCCATTTACACATCTCCTCTGGTGGCTCTGATCAGAGTACTTGAAGGAAAGATGTTCTAAATACTCTAATTTTACTGATTCCCTCACTAAAGAAGGAAGCATCTCTGATACTGTTTTAGGTAAGTGAAAGTTCTGTGGAACAATGACTCTTAGAGTTTAGATGGAATACACCAAACTAGAGATTGTGATGAAACAGGAAAAATGTGAGCCTATTTCTCTAAAGCAAGAAAGGGAAAGTGTGTCATGAAATCAGCTTTAGCACAGGCTTCTATGAAGGAGACTTAACTTTGGATTACTTCACAGTGAGGCACATAGTCTGTAAAAGGACTTATCAAAAAAAAAAAAAAACAAGTCTTACAAATTTTCTAAATGAACACCATTATACTGTTTTAGTCTTGAATTAATAAATCGATTTATCTTCTTTATAGTTTCAGTATGGTAATCATTCCCAGGTTAAACAGAAGAATGGGTTACTTAAGAAATGGATAAGACATCTCAATTTTACTCTAAAACTAATTAGTACTTTCATTTATAATACCTTTTAAAATAGCAGATACTCTTAATTATTGAACCAAAATGAGTTAATTAACTCTACTTGTTCTATACTAATGTTAGCACATTACTGTTATTGTTATTATTATAAAGCTGAATAACATGATGTTAAGAGGAAGTTTCCCTGCCCAAAATAGTTTCCAGCTCAAACATAATGTCAGAGACCGAGCACCAAACAATTTTGACCTGACGTTTGCCCCTGGTCTTCAAAAGAGACAGTAGGACCAGCATTAGCCCAGTAAGATGACCTGCAAGAGGGTCTGACGGAGTGGTGGCCCAGGGTGAGGGAGGTGTGGTCTTTGGGTCAGCACAGAGTTTTCTGGAGGAAGCTTTGCTTGTCCCTGGCAATGAGGAAGAAAGATAGAGCTGCTTCCCCATCTCCTGAAGACGATGTGCAACAGTATGCCAAAGGGTTTGTAGAAAGTGGATTCAGAAAGAGTAAGAGGAAAACTATCATTCTGACTCCAGGTTGCTAGAGTGACTTGAGAATTTTCATATCGTTTTGATACACAGAAGAATAGAGTATGGTGAGCACATTTTTGCTAGAGTCTGACTAATATCTCTTGATCTGAAGCCAGGTGTGGACACAAACTAGCACCTGCTTTTGTTCAGAATTTCCTGTAGGCTGCATGCTTATCTCTCAACAGCAAGGAAGGAAAGAATTACTATACCATGTGCCTAGGAATCAAATGATGGGGAAACACACAGAAATTTAATTGTTCTATCAGCACAGAAAGGCAAGAGAAGTGAAAACTATTTGAATGCCTTCCCGGGTCTAATGGAGTTATGTACAAGCAGGAGAAGGGGTTAAATAGGGAAATGCCTGCGTCTCTGAAGAATAAGAGGCAAAGATGGAAATGAAATAATATAAATGTCAAGAATACCATATTGGTCATCTAAGTGGAGGCCATTGTATAAACCACAAATATCAGCAGCATTAAGGACCAAATTAAACTAATGATGTAATGAAGCTCCTCCCACTGCCAGCTGATGTTCAGACCCTTCTAACCCCCAAGAGCAGAGGAGTGGAGTCCAGGATACAGAGAGACTGTATGCCAAAACCAACCATGCTGCCGACAGACACATCTACATGGACACGAACACTGGTCCTGCAAAGTTCTGTAATGAAAACTAAAGCAAGAACCATGTATGGATTTTACAATATAAAGTTACTACAAGCTGTGTTGAATAGATTTATATCGGTGCCCATAGGGTAAAAAATAATTTTTCTGTAAAAAATGTTTAGTAAGTAAAGATTCCTTTCTACATTATATTCAGATATTTTAAATTGACCACCACTTTCCATTTCGGGGGTAGCAATTGCCTGCTGATTGGAAAATCATTATGGTATGCTTGGGAATATTCTGGTAGTTAAGGACCCTGAGCCATGCCACTAGGCTCAACATGTTAATTGGATTCTCTGAAAATGATGACCGTATAAAGAAAATATAAGAACTATCCCTGCCTACTACACTATCAAGAAGAAAACAAGACAAAACAAATGGGAAGGAATGATATATGATTGAAAATGAGTGACAACGATGAGGTAGGAGGAGAGGTCAGTATCTCTTCCGTGCTCATCCAGCCAATCTGAAACAGGGCAGGTGCCTATCTATGGATGTGGCAAAAAGTGGAGTTTGCTTTCTATGGTTAGAAATGGGAAGAGAATTCAGAACATAAACTTCAGTTTCTGTCAAGTAGTTCCTAGAAATTTTTGAAAAAGAAAAAAGGACACAGCAAAAATTAGCATTGCACACCAGCCAGTGCCAACAATAAGCTAACATACCATCTTTGCTCTTAATCATGGTTTTCCAGAATTACCTTTATGTAAATTTATCACTCTTTAATCTAGACTGTAATAATGATTTGTCAAATTCATACCTGTTTTAAAAACTTATGTATTTCTTCTCTATTTTTATAGCCCAGCATTTACTATCCATCAGTCATTTTCCAGTATTACTACTAATAATGAGATTTTTTAAATTTGTGGTTTATTGAGTGTCTACCACTTTTGAAACACATAGCTAAGACCTTAATGCTCAATTTGCTTAAATCACTCTAATTTTTATTGTCTAATTTTATAGTTAGCAAAAAGATGGATTGATTCAAAATGTTAAGTGATTGGCCTAAAGTTATGTTTACGCATAAATGTTGGACCTGACATGAAACTATCTCCTGTTGTAATTTAAAACTCACCTTTCATTTTGCTACATTGCCTCTTTTGCAATTACCCTTAACCTACTTTTCTGCTGCTATTCTGTCTCATTTCATGGTAAACTACCCAGAATAAACTGCCTTTAAGTACATGCAGATAATGGGTACTATTAATAATAACAAAAAATATTTAAATCCTAGTATAACTGGGGTTGATATATAAATATTTTTAGCACACTTAATTTAATCCTTAAAGAATAGTGTGTATGTGGAGGTTGTGTGTATATTTGTGATTTATTTTGAAATAGGAAAATTGACTATTGAGCGTATATATACTTGCTCAAAAGAGAGTAAGTGCCCTAGCCAGGGCACCTATTCCTAGATTTGAATCCATTGCCTGCTTTCCAAATTCTAGGCCTGATAGTTTTCATGTGCCTGTTATCCAAATGGTATGGGTTGGGGAATAAAGCTTGCAGTAATCTAGCTAATGCTTACCTGTTTTCATGCCTATGTCACCCTGTTTGTCTTCATCCCACATTCCCTCCATGAACTTCACCCTTGTTTGAATACTTGCTGTCCCTTGTATATTTCCTCTGCACTCAGTAATCCAGCCACTTTATGCAAAGTTTTACTGCTGGAAATCTTATTAATTAGTGCAGAAAGACAGGGAAACCTTTCTAGGTTTGTAACTAATTCTTTCTCCAATAAACTTCCATAGAATTTTGATTGTAAACCTATATACTACTTTTAGAACTCTGTTTTGTCACAAATGATAATTTTCTGCGTGCGTTACACTGTTTTTTCACCCTAGCACATAGAAGCACCATGTAACTCCTTAGTAGTTATCTGTGCATTTTAATTGATCCATTAGTAAAACCACAGTATTACATGAGGCAGCAAGAAAGGCCATGTGATCTTTCTTAAGCTATTTAACTACTCTGTACCCTAGATTCCTATAATACAAATGAAGATAATAATGCTAGCCCAATATAGCAAGGCTACTGTAAAAGCAAAAAGACATTTACAAAAACCATTCACTCTTTAACAATTAAAAAAAGAAAATGCACAACAATCTAGAAGAGAATCTTGTATTCCTATTTATATGTTTTATACTAAAAATTAAACAAAAAGGAAAATTTTAACACCAGAATTCATAGCC